CTACACTTTGATCCTAGCCACCGGGCCGAGCGGGTATTCTTTTTTTCCATGGCAATAGATGATATCAATCAGTCAGTTATGTGCCATGCGTGATATACGCTTAAGCGTTCATGTATCTTTCGATACATGACTGACGAGGCAGATATTTTTCCCTCAGTAGATTGCCATTTCTTTCTGCAGTAGACCAGTTGCCAACCGGCATGTTCTGCTATTTACCCATAGCTGGGGGAAAGAACAGTGTTCATACCTTTCCCCAAGTGTATTACCACGTAAATGAATGTAATGGATTCGACTGGAATTCGAACTCAGCTCTCTAATTCCTCAATCCGAGCCGCTATCCATTACTCCACCGTGCAATCTCAATACGTGATATAAAGTAGCAAAATCATAGCTCTACTTGTTCTTTCATTTCTTAGCACGTACGTTACGCACTGTAATAGCTTGTCTGTCCCCTGTCCTCAAATTCTTGGTATAGCATTGCACAGAGTAAATTTCTAAATATTTTTATTAACTTCCGGCAAGTCTCATTCCGGGGTTCATTGAAGCTGCATATATGTGCTTATAGAAAGAGAGGTAGGATAGAGGAAGCGATAATGCCCTCGTGCAGTTAATGTCTGCTTCATTGAAATGATTAATGATTTATGAAATTATTATTTTAAGTAAAAAAAAAAAATATCATGAAGCGTGCAATTGCTATGCACCTTTCTCTATATGATTAAATAAAATAGACGTCATAAAAAAATTATTTGAAAAAAAATTATAACGCCAAAGGCAGTATATAACTTTATGGGTATTTAATGAATGTATATAATTTACCTCCCCCTTAAAATGTAAAAAAAATATGTCAAGTGTCATCCTGTCAACCGGAGAATTGTTTGGTTCCAGCAAGTTAAAATTAATAATGATAAAAATAAAATTAAAAGCAATAATAAATTAACTGGGATAAGTTAAACGTTTAGATGCATCACTTAGAGATGAGTGTCCCTGTATCATTAACGTTTCGATATAAACTGTGTTTTGTATTATTTTCTTTGTCATTTTACCATTTTGTTTGGCTGGCCCGTGAATAATTAGTTTTTGTTTGCTAACTTTATTTTTCTTTACATTTTATTCAGTTACATACTCACCATTAGAGAAATTCTTTGACAAAGTGGAAAAAGTTTACTTATGACGTATTTCGTCCTTCAGGACTTCATCGAACAAAATTTGTCATGTTGGTACGACTACACCTGCGCAGGAACGAGGGATACTGGTAGTTTCAGAATTTTTTTTTTTATCTAGCCGAATTCATTTCGAGTTTTACATTTCACCATTCCTGTTAGATCTTCTAATAAGTGTGGAACCGCTAATTACAAAAGTGATAGAAAGAAAACGAAAAAGACTAAATGAATTCGGCTAGATAAAAAAAAGAATCTAAAATTCCCAGCACCCTTCGTTTGTGCGCATGTGTAGTCCTACTAACATAACAAATTTAGCCCGATGAAGTCCTGAAAGACGAAACACATCACAAGTAATTTTTTCCACAATGTCATAATTTCCCCAATAAAACTATATATATATATATATATATATATATATATATATATATATATATATATATATATATATATATATTTTAAAGAAAATCAGACCACTTTAATGTACCATTATAATAATTTATTTCACCAGAGTCCTATTAAAGGACTCCGGATCATCAGATGGCACTTCCAAAAATGAAATGAAACGAAAAATGAAATTAAAATTGATGAGTAGTGTAAGTTTTTATAATTTAACAGAGAGTGTAAAATGTATAGTTAAAGAGACATGGTAGAGTATAGGGAGGGAATAATTTCATATCTCTCTCAAGTATACTTTATATTGGAGGAGGAGGAGTGACCAGACCTTGACCTATTTAGATGGTTAACTTAAGGGAAGTGATATATTGAAATGGGAGGGGAGTAGGGAGAAAAGAAAAAGGAAAAAGAAAGAAGAGGGAGAGGGAAGTAAAGAGAAAGAGGCTGTAATTGGGTTTTAGCAATTTATGTAAAGAATAGATTTTAATGCTTGTTAGAAATTTAGATATCTAAAAAAATTATTTGAAGTTTGCTATCAATTTAAATATTTAATGTTTTTTAAACAAATCGTTTAGGGATTTAATATAAGTCAAATACTATATTTATTAACACATTTATAGAGAACATATTAAAAAAATATTTTAAATTATAACAGTTTGTTTACCCGACCAATTGTACTTTTTTAATATTGTAAAAGATAAAGATGTTACCATAACTATTATATATATATATATATATATATATATATATATATATATATATATATATATAGATAGATAGATAGATAGAGAGAGAGAGAGAGAGAGTGCTTTAATCGCAACGTCATCAACAGTAAATTTGCGTCCTGGCTCTTACAATATTTCACTATTCCTGACAGATATAATATCACAGTATGGAATACATATTTACAAAAGTGATGGAAAGAAAGAGACTCTAAATAATTTCAGCTAATAATTAAAAAAAAAATCTAAAATTCCCAGCACCCCTTTGCCGTGGGCATGTGTAGTCCTAACAACGTAAAAAATTTATTCCGATGAAGTTCTGAAGGACGAAACGCGGACAGGTAATTTTTTTCCACTTTGTCATACAATTTCACCAATACTGTTCTTGATATATAAAAGTATATCTCGTAATCTTATACTTACAATTAAATGCAATGACTTGTTTGACTAGGCGGCTCTTCGTTGTCGTTTGATAAATATTCCTACGGTTTTAATGTGAAAAATATTTTCGACGAACTCTGAAATCTGGTTTTCATTAGGGAAAGTTTTCCTCAGCAAAGTGTTTAGCAGCGATCGAAAAAGATATTTCGTTGGGGAAATGTTACGTGAATGGCTAAAGATAGGCCAACCAAGTTTCAAAATATTTTCCGCTGTTAATCTCGCTGTCTTCGGTCCTGCGTTATCATAGCGGACAACAACATTATTTCTTGAATCCACTGTGTACACTGCCATTATTGTGCAAGAACTAAGATATGTTAGTGTACTCCAAATTTTTACTTAATTGCCTTGCATGTTTGTATACAGGATGATACATTCGTGATTACAAATGGTTCCCTCCAAACAGAAATCGTGACAACCTATTTTATATAAAATTGATTGCATCAATAAAACTGTTATGAGTCTGAAGAAATTCTTTTTCAGAAGCGACGCGTCACTTTTCTTCTTCTATATACTATTGCCCCTTCAGGATGTGGACGGAAATGGCTCACTTGTGGAGCTTAGCAGCATTTCTCCTTCTGCCAGGTCCGTCCTGGGTAAGACGATAAAGTACCTCCAGCAGCAAGGCCTCTGATCAGGAGGTTTTGAGGAGCGTGGAACCTCCTCTTAATTGCTGGTGTTCCGAGGTCCACCATGACCCGAGGTGGTAGCACCTGTTAGGGTCCCACCTATGGGCAAATGGTTAAATATTACCAGCAATACGTTTTGAAAAATTTTTTTTACCAGCAATACAATTTTGTAGGGAAAATATTACCAGAAACAGATTTTTGACAAAACAATATTATCAGCAATAAAAGTTTTGTCGGCATTAAATAACCCATTGAGCCGTAAAACAAAATAAATAAAAGCAAATCAAATCCTTCTGCCATGTCTCCTTTGCCTCGTTTAGATCGTCATTCATGCAAGCTTGTCGGGTAGGTGACCTCTTTGACTTCTATCTCTTTTAACGTCGCGGTGAGCTAATTCTTTTTATTCCTTGGTCCAATTATGGCAGCATTTTAGGCCTTATCTGGCTCTTGTAAAGGTAGAGGATAGCGGGAGGAGTCAGGTACTTACTGGAGCGGTACAGGGAACAGACCATTTTTCCAGCATCTTTAGCGATGGATCCGCTTGGGGTCTGGAATGAGTTTAAGGCCCAATAGTCTCTGAAGGCATGGAGCATCTCCGATGAGACTTCCAGCTGTAGTTCCGGGGTCGATTAGCGATGGTGAGCCATGTCGAAGTCCAAAGGAACAGGGGAAGTTAGCAGGTCACCAACCTTCAGCAGGTAACCTACCTGACGACCTTATTTGAATGGCTGGCCTGGCGAGGATTTGGACGGATAGTTTGGTTTGGTTTGGTTTGTCTTGATTTTACGGCACTTCAACCTCAATGGGTCATTTAATGCCGACAGAATTTTTATTGTTGGTAATATTTTTCCTTAAAAACATCTATTTCTGGTAATATTTTTCCTTCAAAAAATCTATTTATTGTAAAATTTTTCCTTCAAAAAATCTATTTCTGGTAATAATTTTCTTTCAAATATGTTTCACTGGTAATATTTTCCTTTTTCTTCAAAAAATGTTTAGCTGGTAATATATATTTTTTCTTTTATTTTTATTTTCAAAAATATATTGCTTATTTTTCCAAAAACATATTGCTGGTAATATTTAACTTATAGCTGGCAATATTATTTTTTCAAAAATGTATAGCTGCTCATATTATTTTTCCAAAAACGTATAGCTGGTAATATTATTTTTTTCAAAAACGCACTGCTTGGACGAGTGGTAAAAAAAGATGTTGATTAAATGTACAAGACTTATGAAGTAGTGAAGAGCTATAACCGTCCGCGTATTGAAGTGTCATGTCACAAAAAATATCCTCTTCTGACTATTCCATGTAATTTGGTCTTGTGACGTGTGGAGAAATGACCTCTTGCTCATTCAACACACGAACAAATCAGATGATTATATATCAGAATGATGAACAGGAAAATGTTTTGAAATGTCAGGATATAGGAAAGAAAAAGGCCAAGATCATTTTTCTCTTTCTCAATGATTCTATATAAATTTTATATCTCCACTTGATGTCACTTAGTCAGAGACACACCGACATGCATTTAATACATTACTCACGTACTTTTAACTTGTGAACGAGAACAGGAGCGAGAACTGAAGCGAGAGCAGGAACGTGAACAGGAACGAGGATATAACATTGAATCTTTCATGGATGTATTGTTATTTCCTTACTAGCATGCAATTAATGTCCCAGTGGAAAAAAAATATCCGACTGTGTTGCGAAAATAAAAATAATGTATATTGATTTGACAACACGTTTGAAACGCCCTACAGAGAGAGAGAGAGAGAGAGAGAGAGAGAGAGAGAGAGAAAGAGAGAGAGAGAGAATCCACACACAGCGAAAGACAAGCACGTAGACTTACAGGCATACACAGACGCATAGATACACGCACATAAACAGACCACAAAGACATAAATACATCGGCACAAATAAGCAGATAATTCATCCACAAAAAGGGGGGAGGAGAGAGAAAGATAGGGAGAAAATGCACACGGAGATGAAGAGAAACCCACAGATTCTTACAGACATACACAGACGCATAGATACACAGACCCATATAGACACAAAGACATGGACACAAACACGTACGCACAAATGACACAGAGATTAAGAAAGAGAGAGAGAGAGAGAGAGAGAGAGAGAGAGAGAGATAGAGAGAGAGGGAGAAATCAACGCACACAGAGAAAGAGCAACACATAGACGCATACATACATATATATACAAATAGATTCTTTCATATACACAAACCCACACAGATACAATCAAATCTACACAGATAGACACGCTCACTCAAAGAGAGAGAGAGAGAGAGAAAGAGAGAGAGAGAGAGAGAGAGAGAGAGAGAGAGAGAGAGGTAGAGAGAGAGAGAAGGAACGGGGGAGAGGAAATTGAGATACAAATAGACATTAACAAGCTCACAGACAAAGATGAACACGCGCAAACACAGACACACATACACGCGCACACATGGTAACAGGCACATAAAACAAACATATATACTCATGACACATATAGATACACACACACAAACACAGATTTGTACACACACATACAGAAACTACACACACACACACACACACACACACACACACACACACACATATATATATATATATATATATATATATGATATTAGTGGTAAATATACACATACATATGCAAAATATATAAATATATATATACATACATGCATACACATACATATATTATTTTTTGAATAAAAAATTCCAAGCGGATAGAATCCAGATAGAACTCAATGTCCAGGACAGAGTAAGGATATAATAAATCTTTAATGTATTAGACATCCGACAACATTCATATTTCTCTCACTTAAACCGTCTTTGGCGCCCCTCTCTAAAACTTCTCTCTGTTAAGTTTTAATCCCACACATTCTCTCGTCTGTTACCCCTCTCTTTAGCTCTAACATTCGTCCAGCACTCTCATACTTACACTCTCTCTAAATTTTATTTTTTATTTCTGGAGTTGTTTTTTCTGTTTTCTTTTTGAATTTGTAGGTCTGATGAATGGGATCGTATTTACGATTCCAATGGAATAAATTATGACCATGGAATATTAGTGTTTAAGCCTTTTTTATATATATATATATATATATATATATATATATATATATATATATATATATCGTATATTACCAACAATACCTATTTATTGTAAAATTAGCAACAATATTTATTAATAGTAAAATTAGCAACAATGCATTTTATAGCAAAATGACTAACAATATATTTTATCTGTACTTGAAGGCATAAGATTGTGTTCCAAATTTTGGCATATTTTAAATTTTGGCATTAAATAATCCATAGAGGTTGATATGATGCTAAAAAAAAATCAACCAACCAAACAACCAAAGTTAAAGAACTCTTTTCTGTGATTAATCCAAACAATTTCTTAAAGAAATCATACTGTATTCCAAAATATAACGAAACTACAACATAAAATACACGACAAATTAGCAAGGGTTCTGATCGGGAGAGCAGAGGTTTAAAAAAGCGTGAAACCGCCTCTTAATTGCTGTCGTTCACCGCTCCACCCTGACTCGCAGTGGCAGCACCTGTTAGGGTCCCAGCTATGGGCAAATAGTGAACCAAAATTCAACGGTACATTATTACAATAAAATGACCAACAATACATTTTCATAGCAAAATGACAATCAATACAACAGGAAAAAAAAATCAACTTATGTATTTAAAAACATACCTTTTACTCTGAAAGTATAAAGTGATGTACAAAATATATCTAGATAAACGCATAAAATTACGTACGAAATATTTAGATTTTGGCATAAAATAACCCATAGAGTTGTTGATATGCGGCCAAACAAAATCAACCAACATGCATTAAATTACTCCATATTATACCAAACTGTATTCCGAAATATAACTACAGCAAAAATATAACTACAGCATAAAACGCACATATTTTCACATGAACAAGTATATGCACAAATGCTGAGAATTATCTACCATGTATTCAACTGTGAAAACATAAAAACACATCGTTTTTTATTACTTTAAACCTCCTAAGAAAATTAAATTTCTGCATTACACAATCCATAAGGACTTAATTGCCGTTAAACAAACCAAATAAGAATAAAATCTATGTCGGTATGTTCATAACTACATACCGTTGCCAGATTAGTTTAGTACAATGCTATGTATATGGAGAAGTCCATGTGACGAACAAACTCACCACTCATTAGCAACTGTTTTAGTGATTAGCTACTTTAGTAATTCAATGTGTAAGATTTCTTACGGGAATATTTTTAGCACAAGGAATACTGGTGATGTAAAGATTACATGTACAAAAAGAATTTCCCAAATCATTCACAATGCGAAGATAACAAACGAAATTAACAAAAGTAAATATGTTATAGTGTGGTTTAGTGTGAAGCGTTTCATAGCTCTTTTAGCTTCAGCGCGGAAAGTTCATTCCGCAGATCGAAAAGGGAACCCGGAAGAAAGAGAGAGAGAGTGTTACAAGTTTTTTGTTTTTTTATTTAGTGTTCACAAGTTTCAGTAATACCTTTTGAAAAAAAAATATTGCTAGCAATACATTTTGAAAAAAAAAAAAAAAAACACAAGCAATACATTTAAAAAATATTACCAGCAATACATTTTGAAAAAAAATATTACCAACAATACATTTTGTAGAAAAATATTACCAGAAATACATTTTGAAAAAAAAAATCACCAGCAATCTATTTTGAAAAAAAATATTACCAGAAATACATTTCGAAAAAAAAAATATTACCAGCAATACATTTTGAAAAAAATATATTGCCTGCAATTCATTTTGAAAAAAATATTACCAGCAATATATTTTGAAAAAAAATATTGCTAGCAATAGATTTTGAAAAAAAATATTACCAGCAATAGATTTTGAAAAAAAATATTACCAGCAATATATTTTGATAAAAAAATTTACCAGCAATACATTTTGATAAAGAAATATTACCAGCAATACATTTTGAATAAAAAAATATTACCAGCAATACATTTTGAAACAAATATTAACAGCAATACATTTTAAAACAAATATTAACAGCAATATATTTTGAAAATAATAATGCCAGCAATACATTTTGAAAAAAAATATTACCAGCAATACATTTAAAAAAAAGTATTGCCGGCAATAAATTTTGAAAAAAAATATTACCAGCAATATATTTTGAAAAAATATTACCAGCAATACATTTTGAAAAAAAATATTGCCAGCAATACATTTTGAAAAAAAAATATTACCAGCAATACATTTAAAAAAAAAAAAATTGCCAGTAAAACATTTTGAAAAAAATACCAGCAATGCATTTAAAAAAATATTACATTTAAAAAAAATATATATAAATTTTGAAAAAATATTACCAACAATACATTTTGAAAAAAAAAATATTATTTGAAAAAAAAAAATAGAAATACATTTTGAAAAAAAAAAATATTACCAGCAATACATTTTGAAAAAAAAAATATTACCAGCAATACATTTTGAAAAAAAAATATTACCAGCAATACATTTTGAAAAAAAAAATATTACCAGCAATAGATTTTGAAAAAAAATATTACCAGCAATAAAAATCTTGTCGCCATGAAATAACCCATTGAGGCTAATATTCCGTAAATCAAACCAAACCAAACCAAACTAAGATAAATATTGATAGAGTTAATGTTTTAAGTCAGTTAGTTATAGCACCATTGTTATTGTTGGGTTTCCGGTTCAAGTATTATATTTTTTAATGCAGTTCTTAAACGTAACATGGAAAATAATTATTGATATGTTATTACTGATAAAGATTGATTGATTGATTTTCTACGACTTACATACGAGAGTGGGCTGTAAAGTTCATAGGCTGACTATAAATGAGTGGTGATAGAACTGTGAAAATTTGCATTTATTTTCACTTCGTATTAATAATTGCAATGGTTCTTTCCCGACAAACTGACTTCAAACGTAACTGGCAGCTACTTTTCTTGAAAATGGCCCGCAGAAAAAAAAAGTGTTTAACATGCAGGACATGGGATATGACGTCCAAGCTTTATTAACAGTGCAAAATTGAGCAGCTAAAATTTAGGAGGGAAAGGGAAAATCTTGAAGGTGAATCAAGGTCAAGACGTCCTGCGTCTGAAACTATTGAGGAAAACATTGTTTTCACTACATGGCCATGGATGAAAGTTGATTTTCTATAAATAAAATAGCCTTGTTCTTAGCATATCCCATGAGGCAGTTGAGGATATTCTGAACATCTTTTGACACTTGATAAAAACCGCAGAAGCTTTATTATATCACAGGAAAATATGACATTGTTTGAGGCAAGTCCATCTGTTTTATTTGAATCTTTTGTGACCCAGGATGAGTGTTGGTTTCATCACTTTGAGCCAGAGACTAAGAAATAGTTCATGCAGTGGAACCATCCCTATTCCCTTGCTCCAAAAAAGGTCAACGTCCTTTTATCTGCAGGGAAGGTGATGTCCTCTGTTTTTTGAGAATTCAAAAGCATTGTGTTCATTGAGTATCTTCAAAATGGCCATATCATTAATGGCGGGTACTATATCAACTTGCTGAGGCTATCATGAACAAACGATCAGGAAAACTGACGAAAGGTTTGGTTTGTTTTATTTTACGGCATATCAACCTCAATAGATCATTTAATGCCGACAACTTTTTGTTTCTGGTAATATTTTTGTTTTGTCAAAAACCTATTTCTGTTAATATTTTTCTTCTCAAAAATACATAGCTGGCAATATTATTTTTTCAAAAACGTATAGCAGGTAACATCATTCCTTCAAAAACGAGCAGCTGGCAATACTATTTTTTGCAAACGTATAGCTGGTAACATTATTCCCTCAAAAACGCACAGCCGGCAATATTATTTCTTCAAAAACGCATAGTTGGCAATATCTCTTCAAGAACGTATTTCTGGTAATAGTTTCCTTCAAAAAAGGCACCGCCGGTAATATCTTTCTCTCCTTCTTAAAAATTTTATTTCTGGTAATAATTTTTTACAAAGTATTTCTGGTATTAAAACCTATTTTTACACTTTTATAATGCTTTTTACCACAGTTTCTGGGTAAACTATTTTCCCATAGCAGGGACCCCAACAGCCTCCCGACCAAAGGCCCAGCTTAGGACGCGGATGTTGTCTCAGTTTCGGGGTTAACTATTTTCCTATAGCTGGGACCCTAA